GTGGCACCTGGGGACGTGGTTTAATGACTTGATGCGGTTGGGCTTGATGACTTTAAAGGTCTTTCCCAACACTCATCATTCTGTGATTCAACAGCCTGCTCGTTTCTGCTCCAGATGACTTTTCTCCCGTCTCAGGAGCCGGTCCCTCGGCAGATGGGGTGCACTGAGAGCAGGTCAGTGGGAAGTGAAGGGGGAGGTGAGTCACCAGCAGTGACAACAGAACAACAAAAGCTGTAAAAACCATCAGTTCCTCGGCCTTTGGCTCTTCACTGACCTCTCCTTGCATGAAACAGCCCCAAAATCAAACTACAATAAAGACAGAAATGAAGTCAGCCTGTGGAAGTGCAGGAGCTGGAAGATGCTTCACTTCCAATCACTGCACCTTCCCCAAACCCTGCCCAGGACTCACAGCTCGTTTCTCTGCTCCTCTACTGCTGCTTGTAACTGCACTGCAGTGCAAAAGGAACTGAAAGAGGTGGGGAAAGCCCCAACCAGCCTGAAAAGGTGTGAATTGATGTGTGGCACCCCCTGCCCGCTCCCAAATCCACCCCCCGCTCCCCCGAATGCAACAAATTTCTCCTTCCTTTCAGTGTTTTGCTCAAGCTCAGCATTTGCTTCGAAAGAGCCACAAACTTTCCAGATTCTTTCAGGAAAAGCTTCTAAAAATTATAAACTTTCCACATTTTTTTTCATGGAAAGCTTCTACAAACTACAGACTTTCAAGGAAAGCTGCTAAGACTTATAAACTTTCCAAATTCTTCCAGGAAAAGCTGCTAAAAATCCTAAACTTTCCAAATTCCTTCAGGAAAAGCCTCTAAAACCCATAAACTTTCCAGATTCTTTCAAGAAAAGCTCCTAAAAAAAGATAAATTTTACAGATTCCTTCAGGAAAAGCTTCTAAAGACTATAAACTTTCCGAATTCTTTCAGCAAAAGCTTCTAAACCCAATCAACTTTCCAAATTCTTTCAGGAAAAGCTTCTAAATCCCATAAACTTCCCAAATTCTTTCAAGAAGAGCTTCTAAAAATTGTAAACTTTCCAGATGCTTTCAGGAAAAGCTTCTAAAAACCATAAACTTTCCAAATATTTTTCATGAAAAGCTTCTAAGAACTATAAACTTTCCAGATTCTTTCAAGGAAAGCTTCTAAGACTTATAAACTTTCCAAATTCTTTCAGGAAAAGCTTCTAAAAACCCATAAATTTTACAGAGTCTTCAAGAAAAAAGCTTCTAAAAACTACAGACTCTTCAAGTTATTTTAGGAAAACCTTATAAAAACTATAAACTTTCCAAATTCTTTCAAGAAAAGCTTCTAAAAAATTGTAAACTTTCCAGATGCTTTCAGGAAAAGCTTCTAAAAACCATAAACTTTCCAAATTCTTCCAGGAAAACCTTCTCAAACCTAAAAAAAAATCCCTAATTTCTTTCAGAAAAAGCTTCTAAACCCCAGAAACTTTACAGAGCCTTTAAGAAAAAAGCTTCTAAAAACTACAAACTTTCCAAATTCTTTCAGGACAAGCTTCTTAAAACCACAAACTTTCCAAATTCTTTCAGGAAAAGCTTCTCAAACCCATAAACTTTACAGATGATTTCAGGAAAACCTTCTAAAAAACATAAATTTTCCATATTCTTTCAGGAAAAGCTTCTAAAAACCTATAAAATTTTCAAATTCTTTCAGGATAACCTTCTATAACCCATAAACTTGACAGAGTCTTTCAGGAAATGCTTCTAAACCCCATAAACTTTCCATATTCTTTCAGGAAAAGCTTTTAAAACCTATAAACCTTCCAGATTCTTTCAGGAAAAGCTTCTAAAAATTATAAACTTTCCAAATTCTTTCAGGAAAAGGTTCTAAAACCCCATAAATTTCCCAGGTGTTTTTTTAGGAAAACCTCCTCTAAACTCAAATCTTTCCAAATTCCTTCTGGAAAAGCTCCCAAAAACAGCTGCAGGGGATTAGGAAGCTTCGATTCATTTGATAACAAGCCCTAAAAAAAAAAAAAACAAACCCAAACCCTGAACTGCAGCCACTTGGATGAGTCCCAGACACCCAGGGATGGATAAACACTCTCAGAAAAATAAAACAACAACAAATCCCAACATTCAGCACAGAGAAAAATCACGGGATTTTGGGATAACCAAGCAAATTCAGCGTGGATTGGAGATCCAGTGCTGGAAAACAGCAGCTCAGGATGGAAGTGGCTGGACACTGGGGCTGCCAACTGGCTCTGGACAATGGAGAAGGGAATTAATCCCTTGCAGACAACACTGTCCCATTTTCCATTTCTCCTTTGTCACCTTCCAATCAACTCATCATGAACAAAAGGCTTTGATTCCCACAGGGACAGAAAACCATCGGTGATGACACAAGTTTGGGGTTCATCCATTAAAATGAAAACTCAAATTTGGGCACTGAGGAATCTGAGGATGGTTCCAGTCCAACAGCACAGCAGCACTTCCCTCTTTTCTTGCCTAAACCAGCCAAGCCACAAAGAAAATCCACTTCCTCTTTTCTTGCCTAAACCAGCCAAGCCACAAAGAAAATCACCAATTAAACCCCAGTTTGTCCAGTTCTGAATCATCCCATCCTGCAGCTCCCTCCTGCCAGGAGCTTTTTTATCCCGTGCAGGTGCCAAGGGGATGAGGAGAAACACCTGAGTTGTTGCCTGGGGTGAAACCACGACACCCCACAGACACCAAACCCGGGGTTTCACTTCCATTTAGGGAAAATTTCTTCATGTAAAGCATTGGGAATGGCTTCCCAGAGCAGTGGTGGAGTCACCAGCTCTGGAAGTGTCCAAAAAACACGTGAGGACATGGTTCACTGGTGAACATGGAACTCATTTACAACCAACCCAAAAGCTTCCTGAGCCTCCTCCCTTTCCTGAAACACTCCTTGCCTTTTGCTACCACTTTTCTTCCCTTCCCAAGTTCTCCAAGATGATGAAAAAACCTACAGAAACCCCATAAAATTCAGCAACTCTCCTTGTCATGGAAAAGCATCCTTGTTTTCCACTCAGACCTTCCAGCAGCTGATGGAAAGTGTCCCTGCCCGTGGAACTGGATGACCTTTAAGGTCCCTTCCAACCCAAGCCACTGATTCTATGGAATTCCCTGCAGGCACAACATTCCATGTCCACATTCCCCACTTGGCTCCAGGACAGTGCAGCAGATTTGCCTCATTTGCATGAATCAGGGAATGCCATTTGTGCTTGAACTGGATTAAAAAAAGAGATGTGTGAGTTCCCAGCGCAGAGGGCAATTAGTTGGTAACGATTTGGGGGTCTAAAATAGGCTTATTTCTCCTCAGTCTTACTTATTGTGCCTAAAATTGGCTTCATTTTCACTGCACTCCAAGAGAAGGACATGAGGAAAAGGACTCAGGGAGGTTTAGACTGAAAATCAGGGAAAGTTTCTTCCTGGAAAGGGCTGTCCAGCCCTGGCACAGCTGCCCAGGGCAGGGGTGGTGTCACCATCCCTGGAGGGATTTAAAATCCCTGTGGATGTGGCACTTGGGGACAGGGGTCAGTGGTGGCCTTGGCAGTGCTGTGGGAATGGTTGGACTGGATGATCTCAGAGGGCTTTTCCAACCTAAATTATTCTGTGATTCCATGTATTGAAAAGCTCTTTGTCCACCCAGGACACCAACTGGAAAAGATTTCAGTTTTCCATGAGAGATCATATTCACACCCAAACAAGGAGGAGCTAAAGCTCTACAGGCAACATTAATGGTGGCTTTTCCTGCTGCTCAGGCCAAGATTCAATGTTATCTCTCACCAAACAGAAGTTCTGGGCTCACACTGTTTCCATGGGATTTACAATAATTAAAATACCCAGATTTTTTCTAAAGGAAAGCAGAACTTGCTCTCTTGTTAAAGGAAGAGAATGTGAGAAACTTGGTGCCTGGGCTAATCACAGAGACATGGAATGGTCTGGGTTGGAAGGGACCTTGAAGACTCATCCAGTGCCATCCCCTGCCATGGGCAGGGACACCTTCCACCAGCACAGGTTGCTCCAACCTGGCCTTGGACACTTCCAGGGACCCAGGGACAGCCACAGCTTCTCTGCCCAACCTGGGCCAGGGCCTCCCCACCCTCACAGGGGAGAACTTTTTTTCCTGATATCTAATTTAAACCTACCCTCCTTCAGCCTAATGAAGAAGACTTCCACAAAAACCTTCAGCCTCAACAAAATAAACCAATCCAGCTGCCTTGGACAGGGACGAAAAATAATCAGTGTTCTCAGCACCTTCATGTTTTCTTTTTGCATCCAAGTCAAAGCATGGCCTCAAAAAAAAGATCTTTTCATTCACTTGCTGCCTTTCAAATCTGCTTCTCCTAAAACTCCACGTGTTCTCTCCATGCTCCTCACAAGATCTACTGGAACACGTATTTATAATCAGAAATGTTTTAGCAGGCCTAACAACCGACAGATTCTACTCCAGCAGATAGATTATATTCCAACACACAGATTATACTCCAACAGACATGATTACAGTCCAACACACAGATTATACTCCAACAGACACGATTATATTCCAACACACAGATTATACTCCAACAGACACGATTACAGTCCAACAGACAGGATTATATTCCAACAGACATGATTACATTCCAATAGACATGATTACATTCCAACAGACAGGATTATATTCCAACAGACAGAATTATATTCCAACAGACAGGATTATATTCCTGCTTGCTTTGAGGTGTCACCGAAAAAGGGCTTTCATTTGCAGCCTCTGCAGGTACTTGCAGCCAAATGTCACCCGGTGCAAAGCTGCTTTTTTCCCTATCAGAAGGCACAAAACTGACAAGCCCAACCCAACATCTCACAGGCCAAATCAGCACAACTTTTATCTGAACCAGCCCCGAAGTTCTCAGCGAAAAATCAAATCAAATCGAATCCAAACGGCCCTCCCGGCCTTCCAGGTGTCTGGAAAAGGGGGGGGTTTGGGCTGAAGGGCGGAGAGGACCGTCCCAAAGCTCTCAGCTCTCACCTTTATGCTCCCCCCGATGAGATCTGGTGGCTCTTCATCTGTTTCTAAGGCAACGTTGATGGAGGCGAAGGGGCGACTCGCCATCTGTTGCATCTCGCGCAGGAGTTGCTGGTTTAAGAGAGAGAGAGAAAAAAAGAAATACCATCAGCACATTGTCCCCACCCCGAGATGCAAGCAGGGAAATGGTCTCTGATGCAAAAGGAGAGGGAAAATAACCTCCTGGGGTTGGGATGGGTCTAAAGGGTACAGGTGATGGGAAATGGTCGCGTTGTACAAGTTACGGCAGGTGAAGCTCAACGCCGAGCCCGAGACCCGTGTGAGGGGGGAAACGACCTGCCTGAGGCTCCACAAAGCAGATCCTTCCCTCTGAAGCTGCTGTTTGTCACCACCTGCTCCGCTGGATTTGTGGGGATGGTTTTTCAAACTAACCAGCAGCACTTTGTTAAGTGCTGCGAGGATGAATCTGCTGCTTTGTTGTTTTTTTATTATTTTTATGACAGCCCCAGCCAAACGCTGTCAGGCCGCTCTTGAATAATCCTCCTGCTTTATTGTTTTCCTTGCTGAGTGCAGCAAATGTATCAAATGGCAAACGGGTGTCCCTTGTTGCAAAATGTTTTATTAAAATCAAACAAAAAACGCCACCCTTTTCCTGGATAAATCCCCCGGAGCCCTCACCACACGAGACATCTTTTTATTGTGCTTTGAAGCACCACAGTGCAGTTCCCCTCCTTTTTTTTTAATAACACACAGAAAAGAGGCACTTTCTCCACAGCTGGGCTGGGAGCAGCTTTCCAGTTTTAGGCTGAGCTCTGGACAGGCTCCTTTTTAACCTCAGTGATCGATCCTTAACAGCAACAGCCCAGCCTGGGAGGGGGTGGAGAAGCCAAAATTCCCTGAGGCAAAGAGGCCCGACGGGAATCGATGCCTCCATTCAATAAGGGATCCATTCAATAAGGGAAGAGGCAAACACTCTGCAGGGCACGGGAACAACCAGTGCTCTCACCCTTAAGTGCACAAACTGCCCAAACCACAGAGCCCTGCACATTTACCATCGCTGTTTATCCCCAGCAACACCAGTCATCCTCAGGTTTCAAGCTGGACCGAGGCACCACCAAACGCTCGCTGTTAATTCCCACCATCACCACCCGCATTTCCCAGCGATTCTCAGGGCAATTTGACCTGAGCAGTCCTGAACTGATCATTTCCAGCACTCAGAAAGTGCTAAAAAACACCCCCCCACCCAGCACAGCGGAAGGTGAAGGGAAGGTGTTGTTTATCCAGCGACGTCATTTGGACAGAACGAATCCAGGGAATCCTGGAATGGTTTGGGTTGGAAGGGACCTTGAAGACCATCCAGTTCCACCCCCTGCCATGGGCAGGGACACCTTCCACCAGCCCAGGGTGCTCCAACCTGGCCTTGGACACTTCCAGGGATCCAGGGGCAGCCACAGCTTCTCTGCCCAACCTGGGCCAGGGCCTCCCCACCCTCACAGCCAGGAATCTCTTCCCAATATCCCATCTATCCCTGCTCTCTGTTAACATGAAGCCATTCCCCCTTGTCCTGTCCCTCCATCCATTGTAAATAGTCTCTCTCCATCTTTCTTTTTGGCTCCTTCAGGCACTGCAAGGCCACAATCAGGTCACCCCAAAGCCTTCTCTTCTCCAGGCTGAACAATCCCAGCTCTCCCAGCCTTTCCTCCCAGCAGAGCTGCTCCAGCCCTCTGATCATCTTGGTGCCTCCTCTGGACTCGCTCCAACAGCTCCATGTCCTTCCTGTGCTATCAGGTAATGACAATTCCATCATCATTTTCCTGAACTCATCAACACAACCCCAGGATGGGTCAGGCTGGAAAAGCCCACAGTGGGTCCTCTGGTCCCACCTCGCTGCTCCAGCAGGGCCATCCCAGAGCACACAGCACAGGATTGTGTCCACACAGCTCTGGGATATCTCCAGTGAGGAGACTGCACACCCTCTCTGCACAATCTGTTCAGTGCTCAAAGTTCTTCCTCGTGCCCAGGTGGAGCTTTCCGAGCATCAGTTCCTGCCCGTTCCTCTTGGGCCATCGTTGTCCCCCCGAGCAGAGCCTGGTCCATCCTCTGCCCCCTCTCTGGTTCTTCTCTGCCCATCTCTCCAGCCTGTCCAGGTCCTCCTGAAGGGCCACAAAACCCTCTGAGGTATCAGCTGCTCCTCCCAGCTCTGCACCATCACCAAACTCCTGGTGAGGAGACACCAACCCTACATCCAAGTCCCCAGGTCAAGCTAACACTGGGGGACACCACCAGTGACAGGTGTCCAGCTAGATCCTATGTCCCTGATTATGACCCTCTGATGGTCTTTTCTTTGCCAAGACAACAATTATTTGAGGATTTTTGGCTGTTCAGTGCAGAAAACCAGAGGGCCCTCTCTGTAATTTGGGGTTCGTGATGAGCTCAGCGCAGCACAGGCTGAGGGGGGGTAGAAAACCTTCAACGGCTCTCAGTCCAATTAAACAAAAATACAAAATTTCACCGCATGTGATGAAAGTTTTCCCTCAGTTTTTGAAAGAAAAACGAGAGGGAGGGAGGAAAAGGGCATTCTGGAGCAGATTGTAGATACTGTCATGAAGCAGAAATCTTGAGGAAGGCTCTCCCTCCACGGAGGATTTGTAGGCAAACTTTGCGTGCAGCTCACACTTTGGGGAAGAGGACACGAGGAGTTTGGGGGGATATTTAAAGCAACCCAGCAGATTGCAGACGAAAGCAAAGTGTGAAACAGATTGTTGGGCTGTTGTCGCTGTAATTGTCCCCTTCAGCGATCGCGGAGAGCTTTGTCTAATGGCTCTAAAATCAACGAACAAGCTGTGCTGATGGAGGTGTCCAGGAGACTGATGGGCTAAAAGCTCTGAGTTCTTCAGAGGAAGTTGTTTTCCCGAAGAAAATGTGCAATTTGGCAACGGGGATCGGAGCGAAGTCAATAGGATTGTCTAGGGGGGATGGAATTATGGGGTGGTTCGGGTTGGAAGGGACCAGCCTGGCGAGCTCATCTGGGCAGAACTAATTCATGGAATCACAGGATGGTTTGGGTTGGAAGGGACCTTAAAATCACCCAGTCCCATCCCCTGCCATGGGCAGGGACACCTTCCACTAGCACAGGTTGCTCCAAGCCCTGTCCAGCCTGGCCTTGGACACTTCCAGGGATCCAGGGGCAGCCACAGCTTCTCTGGGAAATCTATTCCAGTCCCTCACAAGGAAGAATTTCTTCCCAATATCCCATCTCTCCCTGCCCTCTGGCACTGGGAAGCCATTCCCTGTGTGCTGTCCCTCCATGCCTTGTCCCCAGTCCCTCTCCAGCTCTCCTGGAGCCCCTTTAGGCCCTGCCAGGGGCTCTCAGGTCTCCCTGGAGCCTTCTCTTCTCCAGGGGAACCCCCCCAGCTCTCCCAGCCTGGCTCCAGAGCAGAGGGGCTCCAGCCCTGGCAGCATCTCCGGGGCCTCCTCTGGACTCTCTGCAGCAGCTCCACGTCCTTGTGCTGTTGTTCCCAGCTCTGCAGGGGGGTCTCACCCGAGCACAAGAGGGAAAACCCAAGGTCCAAGCAGTAAATTTCCCCTAACCCCAGCCTGTGGTGTAGCACCACTCACGGCACAAAGCTCCCCCTAAAAAATTTGGGAATTAATTAGAGAAATAATTGTCCTGTAACCTGAAAGTCACTCTCTGCCCCAGGGCCTGGGCCCTGCATGTTTAACCCGGGCACGTACCAATCCCCCAACATTTGTTTGGGGTGTCCAAATTTTAATTAAAAGGTTTTCTGATGTTGTGAGGGAGAAAAGTGTGGCTTTTCCCCAGCCAGGAGGTTGAGCCTGGCTTCAGAAGTCAGCAGCACTTAACATCAAGAAACCCCAGAACCTGCCTTGCTCTCACTCCTAATTTCTAAGATTTCGAATAATGAACCTCAATGCTCTTTCAAGCCAACCTTTGCTTTCCAGATGACACAATTAATGGGACAACCTGGGAATATTTTAAATCACTTAGGCCTGAAGAGGATTTTAAAGGCGAAGCGTTTGACAGGCTTACAATGAAATCACATCAAAAAGCCTCTCCTGGAACACAACCCTGGCCTTTAATATTTAAATAGCTGCAAACTCTGAACCTGCACAACTTTCATGTGCACTGGGTTTGATTTTTATTCCGGATCACAGAGCCATGGAATGGTTTGGCTTGGAAGGGACTTCAAAGATTATCCAGTTCCACCCCCCTGCCCTGGGCAGGGACACCTTCCACCAGCCCAGGTTGCTCCAACCTGGCCTTGGACACTTCAAACCCAGCAATTCCTACCAGGGAATTCCTTAAATTCACCCAGGTTGAGCAATGGATGGATCCAAAACGAAAAGTGTGGTAGTGATGGGAGCCAAACCACCCTTGGCACGCAGGAAAGCCCTGCCAGGCAGCAGCACAGGCTCTCAGGGAGAAGAAAAACAGCTCCTGAGGTTCCCAGGTTAATTGACTCGTACAACCTGCGCCGTGTTTGCCCACAGGGAGAGCCTGCAAGTTTTATTCCCCACCATAAAGCAGCCACCAGGCTCTGTTTATCCCCCCCTTCCCACTCCCATCCATCCTGGGAATTGCCTCTTCCTGCACAGCCTGTTTTATTTTATAATTTGTATTTTCAGCCACGAAATAACTGTGATTTTTTTTTTTTTTCCCCAGAAGAAAGGCACTCTTTTGGGGTTTTGTTTGCTCCTGATGAAGGATGGGTTTAAAAAAAGAGCAAAACACTGATCTAGAAATGAAGGAACTTGAGTTTTCACAGGGAATGTTTTGTCTCAGTTCTTAACAGAAAGGGAAAAAACATACCAGGTAGGAAAACTCAGGGAGGACAGTAGGGAAGCACTGGCCCAGGTTGGGCAGAGAAGCTGTGGCTGCCCCTGGATCCCTGGAAGTGTCCAAGGCCAGGTTGGAGCAACCTGGGCTAGTGGAAGGTGTCCCTGCCCATGGAAAGGGGGTGGAACTGGATGAGCTTTAAGCTCCCTTCCAAGCCAACCCATTCCATGATTCCAAACCCCTGGGAGTGGTGAGTGAGCAGCGGGAACAGAGGAGCTTTCATTCTAAGGCAGAGCAAAAGCCAAGCAAGCAG